GGGAGGAAGAAGAAAGGATGGATGGAAGAGGGAGAGAGGAAGGGAGAAAGGAAGAGGGAGGGAGGAAGAAGAAAGGATGGATGGAAGAGGGAAAGAGGAAGGAAGGAAGAGGGAGGAAGGAAGGAAGGAGAGGGAAAGAAAGGAAATGAAAGGAAAAGAAAGAAAGAGAAAGAAAGGAAAGAAGAAAAAGAAAGAAAGGAAAAGAGAAAAGGAAAGAAAGAGAAAGAAAGAAGAAGAAAGAAAGAAAGAAAGAAAGAAAGAAAGAAAGAAAGAAAGAAAGAAAGAAAGAAAGAAAGAAAGAGGAAAAGAAAGGAAGAGAAAGAAAGGAGGAAAAATAAAGAGGAAAAGAAAGAAAGAGAGAGAAAGAAAGCTCAAAAACTCAAAGGGCATATTTTTTTTCTGCCGTCCATTTTCTATCTTTTTGTGAATGAGTTTGTTGTACAGGTAGTCTTCAACTTACAACAGTTCATTTAGTGACCGAAGTTACAACAGCACCGTTTCTCACGCTTACGACCGTTTCAGCATTCCCACAGTCACGTGATCAAAATTCCGCTGCTGACTCGCCTTTATGACGGGTTCCAGTGTCTCGAGGTCACCTGATATCCCCTCCTTTTTGGGGACCTTCTGACGAGCAAAGTCAGTGGGGGAAGCCTGATTCACTTAATAGCCGTGTGGTTAACTTTTAACAATGGCAGTGTTTCGCTTAACGACGGTGGCCAGGAGGTTGGTGGAATGGAGCAAAGCTCGCTTCACACACGTCTCTCTCAGCTACAGAAATTTGCAGCTCGGTTGTGGTCGTAAGTCGAGGACTACTTATACAACGGGCTGAGCCCTTGATTTCCTCAATTGCCAATCATGACTGTAGGAAAATCCTATTGGGGCAAAAAAAAAAAGAAAACCTGCAGGTTTCAATCTCTGCATAAAACATTTTGGGCAGAATTGATACTAAATGTTGATTTTATTGGAACTTGGCTGTTCTTCATCTTATGTTTTTTTTTTTTCTCTCTCTCTCTTATTTTGTTCTCTTCTCTTCTCTCCTCTTTCCTTTCATTCTTCTTCCTTCCATCTCTTCCTTCTTCTTTTCTCTTCTCTCCTTCCATTCTTCCTTCCATCCCTCCCTCCTTCTCTTCTCTTCCTACCATCTCTCCCTCCTTCTCTTCTCTTCTCTTCTCTTCTCTTCTCTTCTCTTCTCTTCTCTTCTTCCATTCTTCTTCTATCTCTTCCTTCCATCTCTCCCTCCTTCTCTTGTCTCCTTCCATTCTTCTTCCTTCCATCTCTTTCTCTTCCCCCGTTCTTTTCTCTCTTCTCCTCTCCTTCCATTCTTCTTCCTACCATCTCTCCCTCCTTCTCTTCTTCTCTCCTTCCATTCTTCTTTCTTCCATCTCTCTCTTTCTCTTCCCCCCTTCTCTTCTCTCTTCTCCTCTCCTTCCATTCTTCTTCCTACCATCTCTCTCTCCTTCTCTTTTCTTTTTTTTTCTCCTTCAATTCTTCTTCCATCTCTTCCTTCCATCTCTTCCTCCTTCTCTTCTCTTCCTACCATCTCTCCCTTCTTCTCTTCTCTTCTCTTCTCTTCTCTTCTCTTCTCTTCTCTTCTCTTCTCTTCTCTTCTCTTCTTCCATTCTTCTTCCATCTCTTCCTTCCATCTCTCCCTCCTTCTCTTCTCTTCTCCTCTCCTTCCATTCTTCTTCCTACCATCTCTCCTTCCTTCTCTTCTCTTCTCTCTTTCCGTTCTTCTTCCATCTCTCTCTTTCTCTTCCCTCCCTTCTCTTCTCTCTTCTCCTCTCCTTCCATTCTTCTTCCTTTCATCTCTCCCTTTCCCTCCTCGCTTCTCCTCAACCTCTCCTCTCCCCTCCAGGCCAAACAGCTAGAAGAAAAGGAAAAGGAGCTGAAGAAGCACGAGACTTACTACAAGGAGCAGCTGAACCGCCTGGAAGAGAGGGTGAGCGAGTTTTCCTTCGGCTTTTCCCGGAGAGAGGCTTTGCTGGGAAGGCTTGATAGAGTTTTCCCCCCTTCTGCTTTTAAATGCACAGAACTGATGGGAAGAACCCTCTGACCTGGGCCAGCTGAGTTTCGGGGAGGACCTCTATACCTGTCCTGGTTTGCCGACTGCAGAAAGAACTGACCCTTTAAAACACGTTTCTCAGCCGGCTGCCTTTAACCATAAACTGAACCGTTTCCTCTTTCAGGAATCACTCTGTGTGTGTGTGTGTGTTTATGTGCAAACGGGAGCGAAAGATGGGAATTATCTCGGTGGAAGGCCTGGTGCAGTTTTTTTTCTAACTTTAAAAAAAAACAAAAGCACCAGGTAGTCCTCAGACTTACGACCGTAATGAAGCCTGCTCACCTCAGTCATTAAGTCGTGACGGTCATAAATCAATCATAAATCCTTCCCTTCCTCCTCCTCCTCCTCCTCCTCCTCCTCCTCCTCCTCCTCCTCTCTGCAAACCCCACTCTCTTCTAGCACTGATGATGTTACCTAGTTGGGTCATGAAACATCTGCACTTCCCTTCCTCCTCCTCCCCCCATCCCTTCCTCCTCCTCCTCCTCCTCCTCCTCCTCCTCCTC